TTGCCTCCGCAAATTTTTTTTTTTTTTTTTTTTTTCAACAAGTCGGCCGTCTCCCACCAAGGCAGGGTGACCCAAAAAAGAAAGAAAATCCCCAAAAAGAAAATACTTTCATCATCATTCAACACTTTCACCACACTCGCACATTATCACTGTTTTTGCAGAGGTGCTCAGAATACAACAGTTTAGAAGCATACACATATAAAGATACACAACATATCCCTCCAAACTGCCAATATCCCAAAACTCCTCCTTTAAAGTGCAGGCATTGTACTTCCCATTTCCAGGACTCAAGTCCGACTATATGAAAATAACCGGTTTCCCTGAATCCCTTCACTAAATATTACCCTGCTCACACTCCAACAGATCGTCAGGTCCCAAGTACCATTCGTCTCCATTCACTCCTATCTAACACGCTCACGCACGCTTGCTGGATGTCCAAGCCCCTTGCCCACAAAACCTCCTTTACCCCCTCTCTCCAACCCTTTCGAGGACGACCCCTACCCCGCCTTCCTTCCCCTATAGATTTATATGCTTTCCATGTCATTCTACTTTGATCCATTCTCTCTAAATGACCAAACCACCTCAACAACCCCTCTTCTGCCCTCTGACTAATACTTTTATTAACTCCACACCTTTTCCTAATTTCCACACTCCGAATTTTCTGCATAATATTTACACCACACATGCCCTTAAACAGGACATCTCCACTGCCTCCAACCATCTCCTCGCTGCTGCATTTACCACCCAAGCTTCACACCCATATAAGAGTGTTGGTACTACTATACTTTCATACATTCCCTTCTTTGCCTCCATAGATAACGTTTTTGACTCCACATATACCTCAACGCACCACTCACCTTTTTTCCCTCATCAATTCTATGATTAACCTCATCCTTCATAAATCCATCCGCCGACACGTCAACTCCCAAGTATCTGAAAACATTCACTTCTTCCATACTCCTCCCCAATTTGATATCCAATTTTTCTTTATCTAAATCATTTGACACCCTCATCACCTTACTCTTTTCTATGTTCACTTTCAACTTTCTACCTTTACACACATTCCCAAACTCATCCACTAACCTTTGCAATTTTTCTTTAGAATCTCCCATAAGCACAGTATCATCAGCAAAAAGTAACTGTGTCAATTCCCATTTTGAATTTGATTCCCCAAAATTTAATCCCACCACGTATATATATATATATATATATATATATATATATATATATATATATATATATATATATATATATATATATATATACACATACATACATACATACATACATACATATATATATATATATATATATACAGTGGACCCCCGCATAACGATGGCATCGCATAGCGATTTTTCCGCATAACGATTACTTTTATCGCAAAATTTTTGCCCCGCATACCGATTAAAAACCCGCATACCGATTTTCGTCCGAGACGCGTCCAATGTGCCCTCACATGTGCCGGCCGTCCCATTGTTTACCAGCCAGCCTCCGCGGTAACATCCAAGCATACACTCGGAATATTTCGTATTATTACAGTGTTTTTCGGTGGTGTTTCTGGAAAATAAGTGACCATGGGCCCCAAGAAAGCTTCTAGTGCCAACCCTGTGGTAAAAAGGGTGAGAATTAGTATGGAAATTAAGAAAGATTTTGAAGGGTTTGGGGCTAACCCTGAGAAGCCTATGCCAGTTGTGGAATCCATTGTGCCTACTTCAAAGATTAAGGAAATGTGTGCAGAGTGGTTTGAACTGCAAACCTTTATAGATGAAAATCACCCTGACACAGCTGTTGCAAGCCGTGCTTGTGACTATTTCAATGACAATGTTATGGCCCATTTTAGGAAAGTCTTGAAGAAACGGGAGGTACAGAGCTCTATGGACAGATTTGTTGTGCGACAGAGGTCCAGTGACTCTGAAGCTGGTCCTAGTGGCATTAAAAGAAAAGGGAAGTAACCCCAGAAAAGGACTTGCTACCTCAAGTCCTAATGGAAGGGGATTCCCCTTCTAAACAGTAAGAAGATAATGCTCTCCCCTCCTCCCATCCCATCAATCATCACCAGATCTTCAATAAAAGTAAGTGTCATGTAATTGTGCATGCCTTTTTCAGTTTGTGTGTATTAAAATTAACATTTCATGTGGTAAAAAAAATTTTTTTTCATACTTTTGGGCGTCTTGCACGGATTAATTTTATTTCCATTATTTCTTATGGGGAAAATTAATTCGCATAACGATTATTTCGCATAACGATGAGCCCTCTTGCACGGATTAAAATCGTTAACCGGGGGTCCACTGTATATATATATATATATATATATATATATATATATATATATATATATATATATACACACATACATATATACATGTATATACATATATACAGTGGACCCTCGAGTTTCGGCAGCCTCGACTTTCGTGAAATTTGACCTTCGGCGAGTTTTTTTTTTTTTTTTTTTTTTTTTTTTTTTTGAAAAATTGGGGGCCTGGGTTTGGGCCCGATCGTTGGACCCGCCCCCCTCACTGCACACACAAACCCAGTCCCCCCAGCCATTCTTGCTCATGTGCCATTTATACCAACACGGCCCATCACCCCGCGGGTTTTCATACTAATAATCCTTTTGTTTTTTGTGTTTACACTGCTAAATAATCACCATGACCCAAGGAAAGCAGGCAACCCCTTTTGTAAAAAAAGTGAGGAACCCCGATCGAATTCAAAAAGGGAAACCTTTAAAAAAAAATTGAGAGGGAGTGCATGTTACAGAGCTTCCGGGAAGTATGGAAAGCCCCATTCAACCCCATTTCGACAGGGCAAAGGGGAAGGAAAAAAAGGGGCTGTTGTTGAAAAAGGGGGTGGATATGCTACAAAAAGGAGATCAAAAACCCTCGAAGAATGGGGGGGTTAGTTGTGGGATTACCGAAAAAAGTTACGGAGAAAGTGTTACCAGTCATAATATAAAAAGGAAGTTGCATGACGATCTCGAAAAAGAAATACCGCAAAAAGTGGTGATGCTTGTGATTTTAAGGCCGAAAAGGGTTTGGTTTGAGAGTTTTTAAGAAGTGTAGTGGCTTCACAGTGTGAAAGGCATGGTGGGGTTCCAATTCTGACAAAAAAGCAGCTAAAAGTTTTACGGGAGTTTAAAGGAGTGATCCCCGGGAGAATTCAAACCCCAGCAAGGTTTTTTTGAAAACGGCCCCCTCTGGAAGAAAATGCCAAAGAGGACCTACTCACGCAGGGGGGAAGGGCACTCCCAGGACACAAACCCATGAAAAACGCTTTCTCTTTGTTTGTAGAATGCTAGTGGGGGTTTTAAAAATGAAGCCTTTACTGGGATCGCTCTGAAAATTTTTGAGTTTCAAGAAAAACAGTGTCGCCCAAAGTAACTTGTGTGTGATGTGGAAGGCTACGTAAGGTATGGGTCCAAGGGGGAAATTTTCCCCAATGGGTTTTAAGAAATGTTTTGGCCCCAGTGTGAAGAAAAAATTTGGAAAAATAAATTGCACTTAATCCCCGGTAATGAACAGTGTCCCCGCCCCTCCAGACTTCGAAGAGCAATATGGGGGGTTTTTGTTTTTATCACGGTGAAGTTCTTGCCCCCAATACCACTCCTCCACCCATGGACCAGCAGGGCATTCAAACTTCAAAAAACTCTACACCAAAGCAGTGTTTCCGAAGTGCTTTGAAGTGAACCTCAACCTGACATTGACCCCTAAGACGAGTCTGGAAGACACTTTTTAACATCCTCCCATTGCATAAAACGCTGATAGGTAAGTCCTTGGGAGGGAGTTGACGTCCAGGACTCAAACTCTGCTGGAGGAAATTTGTGGCAATTGTGTACACGAGCGGGATTTTGAAGGGTTTGTGGCTGACCCTAAGGAACCTAAAGCCAGTTTGTGGAAACTAATGTGGCATTGGGATGTTCCTGGTGTTGGAGGTGAGTGGTGCGGATGTGGGAAGAGTTGTGGAGGACCACCGGGAAGAGCTAACCACCGAAGAACATGCAAGAGCTTCCTCGCAACAGCAACAGATCACAGCTCAGGAAACTGCTGCAGAGAGGGAGGCAGAGAGATGGAGGGAAGGTGCCTTCTTCAAAGATTACGGACATTTTTGAAAGTGGACTGAAGTTACCAACATTTATGGAATAACTCACCTAACAAGCAAGCAGGCCGTATTGCAGCATGTACAATAACATGTTTGTGTCCCACTTCAGGGAAATTCTTAAAGAAACGCAGAAACAGACCTCTCTGGAGAGATATTTTGTGCGACAGGGTCCAGTAAATCTCAAGCTGGTCCCAGTGGCATTAAAAGAAGAAGGGAAGTAACCCCAGTAATCTCCTTCCATTAGGACTTCAGGTATGGAAGTCCTAATGGAAGGAGATTCTCCTTCCAAAAAATAGTGTAACACCTTCCTCCTATACCCCTCCTCCCGGCTTCCATCCACGCAAATCTCAGTAAAGTACGTGTAATGTTATTAATATTTATTTTTAAATGCATGTACTTGAATTCTGATTGTTTTCATTATGTAAATCTTTATTTAATTTGAAAAAAAATATTTTATTTTAATATTTTTGGGTGTCTGGAACAGATTAATTTTATTTCCATTATTTCTTATGGGGAAAATGGTTTCGAGTTTCGTGAATTTCGACCTTCGGCGGGCTCTCTGGAACGGATTAATCACGAAACTCGGGGGTCCACTGTATATTTTTATTTATTTATTTATTTATTTATTTTTGTACAATTCAAAGATAACTGATTAACCAGCAGATGTGAGATAAGTGACATGTAAATTAGTAAATTAAGATTATTTATTCATTGTCTGTGTATATGAGAAGTCAACTATGATTTATTGCTTGCACTGTAAGAATTTTTTTTCTGTATCTCTTTATAACAAAAAAAGGCACAATACCGTGACTGAAACGTCGTCGTAAGCTTCTCTCTTTTATGTGTGGGTTATTTGTGTATCTCTTTATAATTTTTGTTAATTTCTTTTGTATTTTCCACAGGGTCCTCTTACTATTGAGGAAGGTGCTGCGTGTGTGGCTTATTTAGCCCTCCTGCCACCTAACATAAAGGAACCCCGAGGAGCCTACTTGTGGTACGACAAGCAAATTGTTGATTGGGTTAATGGACCAGTGCCTAGTTTTGTATAAGTTACAATGGTGGATTTTATCACGGCAGATGTACTGAACACATCATCTCTAGGCTGAGGAGCTGACAAAATCAAACTCCTAGACATCTTCCACTGTTTTTATCTGTATTGGATTGATAAAGCAACTGGTTGGCAAAACATTTCCACAGTAAAGATAACCAATTGTCACACATGCATTTTATTCATAATAATCTGTACCCATTTTCATTCTTTTTTAAATAAAATGTAAAATTGTAAAGTATATACTTGGAAGTGTCACTTCTCTCTTCCATCTCCTTCCCCTCCCTCCTATTCCCTTACCTTCATCTTGCATTCCCTTCCTCTCACTGTATCTAACAAAACACCTTACATTTGCTCTTCTATTCCTTCCCCTGCCTTCCAGTATTATAGCCCCACATCATATTCCACTTTACTGTACTCCACTAAATCTTCATACTCCCCTCCACACTTCCACACTGTGCTCCACCACCAGCACACTGCACTCTATTGCCTCCACTCTGCCACTCTCCATAAAGTAATATGCCTCCATACTATACCCACACTACTTGTGGGAACTTGTGAGATGCTCACTCTGGCTATCACTGTTGACACAGATAACACAAGATACCTAGAGTCCTGTTCTCACAGGCACCCTGGTGATTTTTAATAGCTCTAAATTGATTAGCAGACAGGGGGACATTTTCTTGGTTCAGGCAATGAAGTCCCAATTTTAGGGCCCTTTATGTGTAATGCATTTTTTCATAGGGCGAGACGGACACGAGGGATGTCGAAGAGAGTTTTATGCCTTGTGTTGTGCCTGTGTGCCCTGTTGTAGCTATCAAGGACGCCCCAACTTACGATATTAATCCGTTCCTGAGAGCACATCGTAAGACGAAATTATCATAAGTCGAATTAATTTTCCCCATAAGAAATAATGGAAATCAAATTAATCCGTTCAAGACACCCAAAAGTATGAAAATTTTTTTTTACCACATGAAATATACATTTTCCTACACACAAAAAGAAGGATACATGCACAATATATATCGTGCATGTACTAGTGTACAAAATGAAGAGTAAATGACACCTTTATTGAAGATGTAGTGGTGATTGATGAGACACTGTCCTGGGAGTGCCTTTTCCTCCTTAGTAATGTAGGTCCTGTTTAGCATTTTCTTCCAGAACAGGCCTTGTCACACTGTGTATGCCACTACGATTCTTAAATCTCTCAAACCAATCTTTGCTGGCCTTAAATTCATCAATATGAGCACTAGTTCCAGGCATTTTTTCCTGTTCATCTGGGTGTTAGTCAACTGGTGTGGGTCGCATCCTGGGGGACAAGATTAAGGACCCCAGTGGAAATAAGTTAGACAGTCCTTGATGACACATTGACTTTCTTGGGTTATCCTGGGTGGCTAACCCTCTGGGTTAATTGTTTTCTTGGTATTTCTTGATAAGCCACACAATAACAGTCTCTCCACATCTCGAGTATACAGCTGACCGTGGTTACAGCAGTCAGCTGCCCGTGGTGCACCAGCAGCTGACTGTATGGCAGCAGCAGCAGCTGACCATGGTGCAGCAGCAGCTACTGTGGTGCAGCAGCACTGACAGTGTGCAGCCAGCTGGACCGTGGTGCAGAGCAGCATGACCGTGGTACAGCATCAGCAGCTGATCGTGGTACGATAGTATTTCGATAGTATTTCTCACCCTTTTTACCATAGGGTTGGCACTAGAAGCTTTTCTTTGGGCGCATGTGGCTTATTTAGCAGGTACAAGCACTAAAAACAATGCAATAATACAAAATTTATCAAATGTATGCGTGCAACTGTACGCCCCGGCTTGTAAACAATGTCACACTAGCTCAGCTGAGGCACTCAGGCCAGACACACGTGTGGATGCGTACGGGACGAATGATGTAAGTCGAGTTTTTCAACGTATGTCGGGGTCAAATTTTTAGGCTGACAAGCATCGTAAGTCGGTTTTAGCGTAGGTTGAGGACATCGTAAGTCGGGGGTCCACTGTAGATGGGTTAGTAACAGAAACAGTTTGGGTAGAGTTTGTAGGTCAAGAAAAACTAATTCTAGGTGTAATATACTGACCTCCAGGCTTGAATCCTGATAGAGGGAGACTTCTTTGGGACGAAATTGTTAGGGCTTCTAGACATAATAACACAGTGATAGTAGAGGATTTTAACTTTAGATCAAATTGCAGGACTTCTTTGAACCATATCGGAGTCCAGTGACACTTTAGAAAGTAGTTCAGGAATGTTTTCTGAAGCATGTGTAACAGAGCCCTCCAGAGTAATAATTTTGCTTGACCTAGTCTGCCAAATAAGGAAACACTCGTACGATAATCTGGAAGATCGCTGAAGAGCTTGGCGCTAGTGAATCACAAATCCCTCACTTTTAGCATTAACTGGAATACAGAAGAATGATAATACGTCCATAAAAAGTCCGATTTTTTCGTCCTGCCGATTATAATGGACTTAGGGAACACCTGTCTAATCTGGATTGGGGTAAGCTAGCTAATAATTTTACGGTTATCATACTTACGATTCCGAAGGACTGTATTTGTAAATCCTTTTCTATAATGAGCGATGCGCTCAGAGCATATATATTCCCCGAAGAGATATTAGGTCAAATAATAACGACCCCAAATGGGTTAACAGGAGGATAAAGCATTTACTAGGAGAGATGAGGGGAATTTATAGGCACATCAGAAGAGGAGAGATTAACCTTATTGACCAATATGTTCAGTTAAAAAGAGAAGTAAAAAAGGGGATTAGAAAAGCTAAACATGACTGTGAAATTAAAGCTGCTAATGAATCAAAGACTAATCTAAAAGCATTCTTTCAAGTGTACAGGACAAAGGTGAGGGGAAAAGTAGGACCTCTGAAAAATGGGAATGGACAGCTGATGGATAACGAACTGGAAATGTGTTCTCTATTTAATGATTATTTTTTTGTCAGTCTTCACTCAGGAAGACGTTAATGAGAATACAGAAATTAACAGTTATTCAGTTCCTGAAGAATTCAAATTAACGAATATTACACAAATAACCCGCACATAAAAGAGAGAAGCTTGCGACGACGTTTCGGTCCGGCTTGGACCATTTACAAAGTCACACTAACCAGAAGTGGAGCAGGACGGCTATATATAGGCAGGAAGAGGTGGTGGTAGTAGTAGTAGTAGTAGTACAAGAATGGTATATAATACCGACAAGATGAAATTAAGACACATGCGCAACACCCGGGCATCCCCATCGTAGACATTTCGCCATCCAGCCAGCCACTGGATGGCAAAACGTCCACAACAAAGACACCCAGACGCCGCACATGGGTCTTAATTTCATCAGTAGTAGTAGTAATAGGTAGAAGAGGTAGTAGTAGCGGTAGAGGCAGAAGTGGGAAATAAGGAGGACGAGCCAGTCAAATACAAAGGAAGGGGAGCACTGCAAGAGAGCTAGGTGCCCACAGAGAGAGAGCAAGCACACAGAGGTGCGTGAAAGGGGAAGTGGTGAAATAAATGAAGAAGGTATTATATGGTATTATATACCATTCTTGTACTACTACTACTAATACCACCACCTCTTCCTGCCTATATATAGCTGTCCTGCTTCATCTGGTTAGTGTGACTTTGTAAATGGTCCAAGCCAGACCGAAACGTCGTCGTAAGCTTCTCTCTTTTATGTGTGGGTTATTTGTGTATTGTTCCAGTCACGGTATTGTGCCTTTTTTGTTATTAACGAATATTACTGTCACGAGGGACATGGTTATCAAACATAGATAAATTGAAACAAAATAAGTCACTGGGACCCAATGAGTTGTTTTCCAGGGTACTTAAAGAATGCAAGGTGGAACTTAGTCAGCCATTAATGAGTGTGTTTAATGCGTCTATCTTAACTGGTGTTGTGCCAGAGATGTGGAAGATAGCTAATGTAGTTCCTATATTCAAATCGGGATAGGTCCATTCCATCAAATTACCATCCAATCAGCCTGACGTCTATAGTAGGCAAATTGTTAGCATTGATATTATTAGAAGTCATCTTAAAGAGCATAATTTGATTAATGAATCTCAGCATGGGTTCACGAGAGGTCATTCCTGCCTGACAAATTTACTGACGTTCTTCAATAAAACATTTGAGGCAGTAGACAGTAATAAAGAATATGATATTGTTTATCTGGATTTCAGTAAAGCCATTGACAGAGTACCTCACAAGAGACTCTTAAGAAAGGTGGCAGCTCATGGTATAGGAGGAAAAGTTCTAGCATGGATAGAGGCATGGCTTACCAATAGAAAGCAGAGAGTTACCATTAATGGGGTCAAATCTGAATAGAGATTAGTTACTAGTGGCATTCCACAAGGATCAGTTTTAGGCTCTCTTTTGTTCATAATTTACATTAATGAGACCTTGATGAAGGAATTACAAGTGACATGAGCAAATTTGCTGATGATACAAAAATAGGCCGTATGATTCATTCCGAGGAGGATACCAATGAACTCCAGGAAGATTTAGACAAATAAAACTCTTGGTCTGAAAAATGGCAGATGAAGTTCAATGTGGATAAACGTAAGGTATTAGTCCTTGGTAATGAAAATAACCCTTGAAGTTATAAACTAGGTGAAGTAGAGCTTGATCATACAGTATGTGAAAAAGACTTGGGAGTCATGGTAAGCAGAAATCTAAAGCCAAGACAGCAGTGCCTAAGTGTGTGGAATAAGGCTAACAGATTACTGGGATTTATTTCAAGAAGTATAAGTAACAGAAGTCCAAAAGTTATTTTACAGCTCTATACATCACTAGTGAGGCCTCATTTGGATTATGCTGCTCAGTTTTGGTCTCCTTACTACAGGATGGATATAGACTCATTAGAGAACATACAAAGAAGAATGACTAAAATGATTTACTGTATAAGGAATCTCCCGTATGAAGATAGACTTAGAGCCTTGAATCTACACTCTGTGGAGAGACGTAGAATGAGGGAAGATATCATCAAGTTGTATAAGTGGATGATGGGCATAAACAAAGGTGATAATAATAAAGTACTAAGGGTGTCGAACCAGGAAAGAACCAGAAATAATGGATTTAAGTTGGATAAATTTAGATTTAGAAAGGACATAGGTAAGTACAGTGGACCCTCGACCAACGATATTAATCCGTTCCTGAGAGCTCATCGTTAATCGAAATTA